GAGCCTCCCCTGGATTCAAATCTCTCCTTTCAACTAAGCTCTGCTTGATGGATTGGCGGGCGTCAGAAGTATATTGCAGTGTCTACTCTCTTGTTGTTACTTATGTCATACTTATGTTGGGCACAATTGCTTTCCCACCGAAACGTACCGAGCTTTCTTATTGTGGCATTAACGTACTATGCTATTTGAATGACGCCCATATTTTCCCGTTCAAGTCCATGCGTCATGCATATGTGACGTATCTAGTACAAGTAAAATTATTCAGGTTTAATAAAAGAGCGATTTTATTTTCGGTTATTTACCTATAAGTCATAATTATGCATCAAATACATTGATATTTGGGGCAAAATGGTATTCTCTACAACAGTGACAGATTAAAAAGTGTTAGGCGGTGATAATACGAGCCTCTCAGAAGTATGCAAGTAGAAATATGAGGTGAATTTATGAAGACCTTAATGCTCTATGCACTAGGTTAATCCAACTCACATACCCAAATTAGAACGCCAAATCACAACTTCTGATTAGACGTCTCTAATACTTGTATCATGTGGAATTGCACATGGGGACCCCTAATCTCCTACTACTAAATAGCACTCCATTCTAAGTATTTAACCTAATCCACTAGATTAAAATAGATTGAAGTATTCGTTTGAAATATTGCTTGGTAACTGCGGAAATAGGTGTACCATGAGGGTGGCCAGCCAATTTGATTGAAGGTATCCGGACACCTGAGAATGGTGGTGCACCTGTCAGCCCACTTTATCACCGCGAGTAGCTGTCATGTTAAAACCAAAATGGAGAGAGAGCGTTTTTCAGCCTAAAGTGACTATTTGACCATGCGTGGACTGTTTATTGCGGAGAAGGCCTCCACAATTGCATGATGACCCTAATAGCACATAACCCACACACACACACACTTAAAATGTCAATCTAAACAATGGTCCACAGTGGTCGTATACAGGCAGGCGTAAACTGAAACCCCAATAAATCGCTTTCTTGTAACTCGTTCACCAACCTGATTACACGGAGGTCTGAGTGATTTGGCGGAAACGGGTGCTTCTCGTTCGCGCTCTTCTGTTACTGGGCCACGGCACATACAAGGCACAGAGGCTTCAACAGATGGATCGGATAAAAGCTTTGTTAACACCAAATAATTCATGTAAATAAAGCAACATCCTAATGCTCAGATGCTACGTTTGTTGGTTTTTGTACAAGTAGAAAAACCACTGCCACTCTGTTGCGGCGAGTACCTCTTTGAAGTCTTTGCTCTCTCTGAATTATTCTTTGGCAGAGGTAGTCATGTAAATTTTCCATGGCTGTCTTTATCGGAAGGCATTTTGAGTGGTTGAATTTTTCATGTGAATTGTCCAGTGTGAGAAATAGGCTAACTTTTGCTTCATACGTGGCATAAAGCGGATAAATCAAAGCACAGGTCCTGGGAAGTTACGGGAATTCTATTGAGCTTCAGTGACAATAGGCATGATAATAGCCGGAAAGGGTCAGAGTCCAATGTAAAAAAAGATAAAAAGGAGGTTGTATGCAAGTATATCCCAACAGGTTTAGTTTACTACGTCCTGATGCAATTACCGCACTTCTTATTGCTTTGTCAAAGCTGCATTAATAAGTTTGAATGGGGGCGGGGGGAGGGTAGAGACTGTCACCTTCGTTCATGAAAGTAAACAAGCAATGGTTATTGTGTGTTTCACAAGCTTGCTTTAACTGTCATGGTGACTGCCACCCTTTGTTTATGACAGCCTTATCCATATATTTTATCACTTTGTTCGGGTTGTGATTTGATGTGATGCGATGTGATTAGTACATCAGCACATCGACGGCCTGTACATTCACATAACCCGGAGCTTATAACTGATGATTGGCAGTCAGTTAAACGCTCCTGTATGTGTGTACGTACTGGTGTGCTAGTAGATTAATAGACCTGTCAACTAATGAGATGCCAGTGGTGTGTTCAGTATCCGTAAGACCACTACGTGTCCGCGATCATAGTCACGCGTCCCCAGTGAACATCACATGCACAATTGCAGCCCTCTTGTCCGGCTACTATGCACACAGATTAGTGTGGCCGAAGTACAATGAGGGTGACAATTGATTACCCTCTTATAATTATAATAACTCATTCGCTTATGGCGCCATCTACATGTAACATCCTGATTTTCTAACTTGATCTTGGCGTCACAAATGTGTGACGCACATTCGAGCAATTTGATGACAAGTGTTAGCAGCCAATAGTGTTATAAACAGAGCGTTCAAGCGTAATCCAATAAAGATGTTCTTGCCCTGATGACAGATGCGATTTCTAGTTTTTGGCCAGCCGCCGTGCTGAATCGGTAGGTTTGGTAGAACCAGTGTAAGTGTCATTACCAGAACGTTAATAATATCTGCCTGTAAATGTGCTTTTTTGCTCCATTGTAACGGCCTTGGTACCATTTACATTTGCGGTTCATTAATACTGGCTGTAGCGGGTTGCGAAGGTTTCATCCGAATCCCTACAGAGTTGGATTGGTTTATTTACTGATAAAATGGCTACTTTGGATGCAGTCTTCTAACCATACCTGTAATACAAAAACAATGCCTTACCCTCATTTACTGGTGGCAGAATAACCCTTAGATATCTCAAAATGCGGTTTCGTTAAAATTCAAGAAGACTGTACCGATACTGCTAATTATGTAACCAGTAGTATACTTAGCACATTAACTATTTAATCAGACTATACCAATGATCATGATTATTTTAATGTGTTGGTAAGAAGGTTGGATCGCGCTCAAAAGACTTGTGTGAATATTCAAGCCTCGTGGGTGTTAAAATACCATCTCCAATTACAAAATCATCTTTCTCCTTCTCACCCCCCGAGAAGGATGCATAAAAATTTCTTGTGGCAGAAATGCAATACGCCTGGAAATATACTTGACGTCATTAAAAGGCTAATATGAGCCCTGCACACAAACACACATTTACATGAGATTATTTTTCAATCTGCTTTGCCTTCAATCCAATGGAGGAGTCGGAAAAATCGCAGTAATTTGTGAAAAAAGACGAACTCATGACTTTCGACCACAATGACGTGTGGAATAAAGTGAGAATACGGTGAGAAAAATTCCAACTTGTAAGAATTGTGGTCTAAATGACAGAAAAAGTGGACTCTTCGAGGCCCCAACAGCGTCTTAGTCAAACTACCGTTGCGAACGCCAGGTGTAATTCCGACATTTTATGGTGTATCCATGGTTTTGGAGGTGAAAATCAAAATGGGTGAATGTGTTGAACAAAACTTGATGGTGGCCTAGAATTGTATAGGCTTCATTAATGGAAACTGCCCTCACAGGGATTATGACTGGAAGTAGTACTTAATCTAGAGATTGTGGAATCTTACCAGGTCATAAATTCACTTCGAGTACCTAATGTGGATTGTGTTACTCCTCTTATGCATGATTATGAGGTCCTCAAAATTTTAATTTCTTGTGAAATTTTCAAGATTTATGAACCGATGATAGTTGGAGAATAGTGAAGTGCCGTAAATTAACACTACCTCAATCACAAATTAAAGTCACTGAGAGGAATAAGGCTCTACACCCGTGAAAGCCCTTGAAAAACAGTAAAGACCCATGCAAATAAAAGCCCCCACGTAAATTTTTTTTATCATCAAGCACCACAGACAACCCCTAATAGTTGCATGTGGTGTCCATGGCGTCCAAAGAGGGGAATTCTGAAAAACTTACTTAATTATGTATGAAACATCGCCTTTTAAATGAAAATTATAAACAATCACACATCTACTGGATAGATCGTTAAAAATACAGTAAACAGTGTTAAACATTGTATTATCTTCAAATTTCACGAGATGTTGAATGCATCAAAAGCATACATGCATTTATTTGTGTTGTAAGCGTGAAGATACCTCTAAAAACCAGGGCCTATTAGAAATTTGTATGAAATAATCCGCAAATCCGTGTTGTAGATTTAGAACCGGAGCCATTAGTTGTGAACTTATCTGCAAGATATTCCACTTCTAGCTAGAACTAAAGGAGATGTGGCGCATCATCCTAAATAAGCGCTTAAAATTCTAAGTGTGTACGGGAAATTTGCCTTTGTGAGTGCGAATTTAAAATAATGGGTGAATTTAATTTAATGGAATGCCAGATTAGCATTGACGGTAGGTAAACCACGTATACAAGAGGCATCTCCTATTCCTGCGAGATTTTACAGAACCCACGTGACAAATTGGCACCGTTATGGAGGCGGTTATATTGTAGCCTGTTTACATGTATACTGGTCATGTACTCGCTATTTGATCAAAGTGGGATTGAGAGGTCTTTAAATTATATGTCGGTACTATTGAAACAAACCGGGTATGTATAAACTACCCTGCAACAAAGTACTCTATGTTGATGCAAAAGGTTTACTACTTAAACTACTCAACCCGCGTAAGACGTACAATTCGATGGAAATTCTTTGGCATATGCGCATGCGACTACGGTAGAAATGAAATGATCAGAAGCTACTGCAATTATATCTAATAATGGCAAAATTTAGTCGGCAATTTGCCACGTTTTTGAAGGATCACACCGCTTTTAATAGCCGAGGATTAAGAAGATACTGGGATTAAGCTTGCCAGTAAAACGCAAAACCGACGCCATAATAAGACAACAGATCTGTAGTATGCTAATGTCCAGCATACATTACATCATTGTTCGCTACAAAATTTTTGTGAAAATCCCTTAATGAGGAAACGATTGTTCTTTTAAGGCAGGTAAAGAGTCGTAAGATATTTAGTGACTACTTTTAGTAATACACCCCAACAAACCGTATAGGACACCGCTTTATAGCAAAATTTTTTTGTTAGATTAGTATTGTACTCAAAACAAATGACAGAATGGTGCGAAGACCTTCAAACTAATAAGTGTGAAATTTTCAAAATCATCTAATGGCGACCACTTTTAACTGTGCAGCGCCTGTAAATTTGTGTCAGAATTTGTTATATTTTGAAATGATTGATATAAGGGTTTTTGTACAACCAAGTGAGGATCTGTCATAGCAGTCCCTTACTGATTAGTTCTATCTGCTTGCGCAGAACAGCACTGATCACGAATTTTTGGGAATCAGCTTTGTTTAAAATTTTTTTTACTATTGTAATGCAGCAGATAATTGGTATATTCCCGTTTATTATTGCAATTGTAAATAAGCCGATTTTGTTTCAGCCTTTCGATGCATATCAAATGTAAACATGCGGGGATTTGTAGCTGCGTGCATCTTATTTCCATTTTGCATTTTATGGCTTATCACAACAGCCTGTGAGTTTCTGTGTGCCTTACACGGCTACTCAATTAATTTTTGATGTTTGTTAGGCACTTTTAGGATATTTTTTTCACAATGACTCAATTTCGTGGAATGAATAGGAATCTGAAATGATAATAGTGTTTGTAGCTCGCTTAACAGTAACTTGCCCTATTTTTAGGCATTTTCCTCGCTTTTTCTCTTTTAACCAGCCTATTTGGATTCGTGTATGTGCTTCCAAGTAAAGTCAACTTTTGTTAAAAGCTTAACCTTTAAATTTTACTTGGCAGTTGTAGAAAAGCCTAGACTTAGTCCGCCGTTCCTTTTTTAAAGAATTATGGCTTTGTGTAATTAAGTTATAGAAGGCGTTTGACTAGGTAAGCCTAACAGTTCAGTGTGAAATTGTCTACCACCTAAACATTTTTACATTTTATCAGAAAATGACTTTGTATTACTACAGTGATTATTGTTTTGCGCATTAAATGGATTGTTAATTTAGATGATGTTCGTTGGTGTGTGTTTAAGAAGGCTGAAATACTTAAATGCCTGGCTCTTTCTCGTGCAATCTCTCAAACACCAACATTTTCCATCAACTATACCCTCAACTGTGTCACAGGCCTCTCAGAATTCGACTGCATGAAGCTAATAAGCACAGAGAAGGCCGACTTAATTACGTTGGATGTTGGTCTTGGCGATATTGCTAGTCAGACATACAGTCTACGACCACTGGCAGTCGAGAATTACAACGCATCTGACCCTACAAGTGGTCTTTACTACCATTCCAATATAGTGATTCCTATCGGGGAAACTATAGATCCATATACACTTCGACGCAAAGAGGTGTGCTTTTCAGGTAAGTGCAGTTAACGTTAATAAAATAGAGATGCAATCTTAAAATACCTTTTTCTTCATACAACGTTGAATGTCATTCATTTATTTGTATCCATGGTTTATTTTCCCTTAAAACGCTCCAGTGAAGCCACTTTATTTGGTTAAAAATTACGAGTAGCCTATTTGAAGCCCACACGTACTGTGTGCCGTATGGTGAGGATCGTGCAGGATTTACCTTCAAGTTTGTTAGGCAAAGCTTATGGTTAGATATAGGTGACTAGCATTCGGGCGGCTAGAAGCTGGGCCGTGTTTATCCCCCCACACATCCATGCGTCCAAAGGGGCAATGTGGTAGTGATGGTCACTACAGCGCCTCGATTGAGATTTAGTACGGCTCATGTGAGGGACGTGCTCTTTTTTGTCATATACAGTTACTAATTATTGGAAATTTATATCTGTGAAGAAAGATGCTGAATAATAATAAACAACTGATACTCATCCCTCCTTCGGATAGGAGCGGGAACAGCGGAGAGCTGGGTCCTTCCCCTGAGTCACCTAATGGGCGATCTCCACGCCATCAACATCACACAGTGCAACAGTGTGGTACAGAATCTCATCCAGTTTCTGGGCGACTCCTGTATACCTAATGCACTGCAAAGTGCCTTCAACCCCTTCGGGGACAATACACAGGAGATCTGTCGTCTCTGCGCCGATGTAGGAACCCAGGCCTTCTGTACGTCAAGAGACCGCTTTGCAGAAAATCAGGGGGCTTTGCGATGCCTCCACGAACATCGCAACAACCCCGAGACCCAAAAACGACCTGTGGCGGCGGTGATGAGGGCGCAAGAGGTCAATATGGCCATCAGTGATGGTTGGTTTCCAAAGGGACTCTACCAACTCCTCTGCCCAAAGCAACAACTCAGGTGAGGTCTTTGGATGAAACTGTGTTGACTGAATTAATTCTGATGAAATAGATTAATGAGTGGATTTATTGTGACATTGTGAGATGACTGAAGGCCAATAACATTTTCATCATGATTGAAGCCGAACACAGGAGACGAAATACCTGAGTAATACAGTGGATAAGAAGTAAACAGATAAAAAAATGTTTCAAATTCCGCAAAGTTTTAAAGATAAGAGTAGACAAGATCTTTACTTAGCTCATCAGTATATGCTTCAATGGCCGCCTCAGGTGAAATTATTGTTGTGTCCTGAGTCTTTCCAAAGTCCCTCATAAGCCATACGAGGTAACGTCTTTAGTCATTCCTGAGGTGGTAAGAAGTCGTAGTAGAGTGCTAAACGGCGAATTACTGGCGTAGAGTCATATACTCGTAACTCCGAGGGTAGCTTTGCCGTTCCCCTAGATTATTCCTTGTGAAAACAAAATAATGTGATGAAAAAGATTGTCTTCTTTCCAGTGGTCTGTGGACAGCTCCACTGAGCGAATGGCAGACCTGCAGCTGGGGTCGAATTCCCGCCCGTCTAGTCATGACTTCCTCACGTCGGCTGGACATTCAACCCTTTAAGGACTTCTTGAGTCTCCTTATAGTCCACTTTCTTACTAACCCGACACCAGGAACGCCGCAATTCAACCTTTTCTCCTCCACCGAGTACGTCGTGCCGGAGCAGAATTGGGTGCAAAGGAATCTCATGTTCTCCGATTTCACACAGACCCTCTACTTCCCCCCTGAGAACCAAATCACTACATTCTACCAGTGGATTGGTACGTGTATTCCTCTTCTGGTACTGACGTGTAAAAAAGCTGAGGCTACCAGCATAGTCCGGACGGCATGACACCGAGGAAAAGTACGATTTGCGGGGATTTAAGTTTCAGCGTAATCAAACGCTCAGTTAAACAAACTATCAAAACATTTCACAGTCCCTCTCTTCTTTAAACCGTGTCCCGTCCCTCTTGGCCAACCTCGCGCGTCGTCCATCACAACGTAGTCCATGCTGTAAGAAAATATTTGGGAACCAACTGCTCCAGTCATCGAATTCGTATGCAACTGAGATGGTATCTGACCGCACGTCACTGATCCCACTTGGCAGTTCCATCCTATTTTGGAACTGTATTGGGGGAAGGAGGAATGTGATTTCCATCACACATATCCATCGCTAGTCGTAAGATCACCAGTCCAAAGGAAGAGTCATTTAAAAAGGGACGAGATACAAAATAGTTTCGTGAAGATGGAATTTTGCGTTTGTTTTTCCTCGCGACTTCATCCCCACTTCAGAGCTGTCCAGCCATATCTATCCCGAGCTTATCCAGTTGGTAGATGGCTAAGTAACGAAATTCTTCAGATGGTTTACGGCCGCGGCTAGTGTCACTTTGGTCGGTAGTAGCATTCCTGCACAATATGGGACTGGGATAGTTTCCCAGGCTAGACATCATTTTCAACCCTTCTGCTAGGAACCGCCACAGATTCTCTCATCCGACGATTGTGCCTTTCCTCCACCACGTTAAGGTTTAGCATTCAGCAGTGGAAGCCATGGGACTTGTCCTTGCTGTTGTCATAAATTTAGCGCCTTTATTCCTCCCTGTACCCGTAAGAAGTCATAATGATATGACAGGCGATATACTACTGACACATAGAAGGGCTGAGGCTACCAACGTGGCCACGGAGCAGGAGTCCCATCTGCAGATACCGGCGAGAAGATGAGGTGCTTGCGCGCCCCAAGCTTCAAGTGTCTTGACACCCAAACATATCCCAAAGCAGTATCTTCTCATCACAAGCAATTTAATTGTCTTCTGTTTGTTTTTAGATCCAACTTTCCTGGCCGCCAAAGAGGTGTTGAATCAGTGTCCCCTTCCCACAATCCGCTGGTGCGTGGTAGACTACTGGGAGATGGAGAAGTGTGAGCGAATGAGCAGTGCATTTGCTGCGAAGGGCATAAAACCGGATCTGACGTGCATCCACGAGGGGACCACCATTGACTGTATGCGTCGCACGCGAGATGGTTTTGTGGACATGATGAGCGTTGAAGCGGGTGATTTGTACACGGCTGGGAGCCAATTCAACCTCGTACCCATTGTCAATGAGTAAGACTACTATACTAATCTATTTTGAGGCGCCTAGGAACTACGGTATCGGACCGTTTTACTATGCTGTTGCGGTGGTTAGAAAAGTGAATCCAGACATACTCATCTCCAACTGGAAGTTCCGGCGGACCTGCCAAAGTGGAGTTGGACGAGCTACAGGATGGATAATTCCCCTTAATTTGATTCTGGAAACTGCCCAAGTTCGAGTCTATGGGGAACACCTGATTTTTGCATTAAGTAGGTCCAAAAATCTTCATCATATTTTTTTTACAATTCAGCTCAACGAATCCATGTTTTAGGTATTAAATTCCATTAATCAGCAATCAGAGCTCTGAAATATCCGTCATTTCCCCCCATCTCATTGCTAACTAAAATAAAAACATTAAATCCTCAGTTGTTTACGTATTTTGCCGACTGTTAATCTGTCTTAGGGCAAATGACTACCTTTCATACCCTTGTTCATTTGCTGGGAAAAAGTCTCATGTTCTTGTAGCGACCCTTCATCGCATTTAGATGTTGCCATTCTTTAAAATGTCGTGATCTAGAAAATGACGGATATCAGGTTCACCCGTACTATCGTTATGAAAATTGTCTCCCAAAGAATGCGATTTAGATTACAAACTCACCTCTGCAACATCCCCGGTTGCTGGACTGATGTTATATTTTTTAGGCGAGCTAGTGAGCCAGGCCTGCATCCCTGGGGTACAAAACCAAGCCTTCAACCCGAGTGGAAAGATTCCACTCAATCTCTGCGAACTGTGCATGAGTGGTGGAAATGACCGATGTCAACGGGACAATCGGGAACTCTACTTCGGTGAGGACGGAGCTTTTCGGTGTCTCACCGAGGCCGGTCAGATCGCTTTCACGCGGCACACCACAGTCCAGGCTAACACTGCTAATAGGTCAGTCACCTCTTCTTCCTAGCAGAGGCCTTGGCCAATTGTTGTGTTTTATTACGTATTTCAAATACGCCTATCAGATAGAGTTTAACTAAAGTTCAAGTAAGGGATGTCGCTTGTCCCTGAAGCAAGTTTTCGTTCTTCTTCCTGTTTCATGGTGGTAAAATGTATTTCAAATCATCCCACTCCCATGATGTGAGCCACTATCGTAAGCATTACATCCGTTTAGTTTTTAGTCTACATAAGGGAAATGTCGTTAAATTTTGCTACTGTCACCTATTGACATTTGACACTGGTTTCTCAATGCTTAAAATAAAAGACTAGTAATGACGACGAGATTATTCTCCACTTCAGCACTCATTTGTTTCACCTAACCCTGCGACAAATCTGCCTCATGTTCCCATTGCCTCAGGCAAACTACTTAATTCCACATTCCAATGCTAAAAAAAGGCTACTTCCAAAAGCCTCTTAATCAAATGGTGCGGGTCGCAAAGTCGATTTACAAACATGGATAATATGTAAAACAATAATTTGTCGCATGAAATTTGATGAAATATTGCCTTGGCTAAAAGTGATCGAATTCTATTCGCTTAAATTTAGGAAGAGTATTTCTGTAACCTTTAATGATATGAACTGGTCATCTTTCATTTGCTGCTTTAAAAATCGCAAAATTAATTTTTTTAAACCCTTTCCACAATTGTTAGCCTTTTTTCATCTTACTGGTTGGCTTAAAAACAGTCGCAGAACGGAACTTAGGTTCCAAGAGAGCTGCCAGAAACTATGCGGTACCCAACTCGATGCTATCAAAGATTGAAATTAGTACATTCCGAAAATTTTATGGAATTTGTTTAAAACCTTAGGAGACTAAAATAAAGAAATATTGAATGATCCAGACTTTAAGTGGTTTGCCATCCAGCCTACCTTCGCTGTTCTTCGTACAATCTTCTGGTCCACGCAATTCAATGTGCTTCAAATTGTCACTGCTGTAAGGATCCAACCCGTTTACTCACAAATATTTTTTTGCTCCATTATTCTTGATAATCCTAGATTGTTTCTTACCAGTATGAAAGACATCTTATCATATGGTTAAACAGGAACCCCGATTACTGGGCCCGAAACTTACGCGAGGACGACTTTGAATTGTTGTGTCCGGACGGGCGTCGACAGAACGTCCGGGATTGGCACAACTGCCACTTAGGCAAGGTGCCCGCCAACACCATCATCACGGCGCCGCACAAGACGGAGAATGAACGTCTCAACATGTGGCGCTTACTGCAGTACGGACAAGTGTACTATGGTAATGACTGGTAGGTCTCTAGGTAAACTAAGATTGTTAGTTAATCTAAGACCTTGTCATATAATATATTTGGAGGATATTTCGGAAAAGTGCTGCGCTGGTCGCGCAGAAGGGCTGGGAGGGTACTGGCATTGCTTCCGACCATACTGTCTAGCGGAAGTACAAAAGCGGAGCCTTAAGCGCCCGCGTAAACAAAACCAAGAGTTCAACTAACAAACCTAATATTATGACGGGGCTAATCAAACGTACAGGAAACACTTTGTGAATATTAGTCAAGATGCAAGAATTATCCGCAATTACTGGATAACCTTTATGCAAATCGGTGTTAACATCAGATGGCTGTCATACACTTGGTTTAAGAGCTCCGTGCTATTTCCATTTGTAGGAATCCGATATTCCGGATGTTCGACTCGGGATTCGGTCACCGAGATCTAATATTAGCGATTTGACTGAGAGTTTGACACTGATTCCATGGGCAGACCAGAATTACACGCAGTGGTTGGGAGCAGAGTTCCTGCGACTCGTTCAGGTCCTCAAAGATGCAGGAACCTACGGTGAATTGGGCATCTACCAACCTCTGAATGGAACTGCTTGATAATGAGCCACAGAACTAACTTTATTTGGGCTTTCAGAATCAAGAGATAGAGACGAATGCAAGGGTTGTACAAAGCACATAATATCGTATCATTGAGCGAATTGTGACTTCAAAATTGAGAAGACTTGGCAGCATTTGTAAATACAGCGAAAACAAAAACAGTACAGCAGATAAAGATATGCCAAAGTCAGTGATATACCATCTCTCAAAAAGTATCCCATTTAAGGCATGAGTTTATATGAGATTTTGAAGTTCCAAAAAGTGTACAGTCATAAACTATTTGAAGAAATTAATATTTCGCTACATACCAACATAAAATACACAGGGGTTCATCTAAAGAATTCCGTAGCCTCTTTTCTGATATAGGACTTTTATTCACGTGCATTCTTCTATAACCAGACTGAAGCTACCAAAAGTGCTGGATGATAAAATTTTGCACATTACACATTGATTCTTTTGGGGGGAAATTTTGTAATTAATGTTTTGCGTGAATGGGAGCCGTGGTGATGGCCCCAATACCTGATACGTAGGTGTGTGCAACATGCAATTCGGTTACGGCTATTCTGAGTCTTCCATTTCTGCTTCCTTAAACTATCTCTGCGCTCGAGTCCCTCGCATGTTAAGAGTATTACAAAACCCAATAGGCCCTTACATTCTGCAGCGGCAAACCAGGAGTTGAAGGGTATGCAAGTTGTGGTTATGATGGGAAGTAAACTAAAAGTGAAGGAACTAGAAAGTAGACTTTTAAGACGATAAATAGGCAGAACTAAGGGTGGTTTTTTGACATAGAACCCCACAACCGTGCAGACGAAATGGGGCCTGTATGAAAATCAGGTACGTGATTAGATTTTGCATAGTGAAAGCCAAAGTTAAAAAATAAAATAAAAAATTGGGTTAAAGGGGCAGCTCGAGTATGGCAGCAGTTTGACAAATTAAACCGTAATACGGTTAAAAAGATTATCAATTTTGAGGATTTCACACATAAATTTGAGATATGATTTAACTGCTAGCCTAAACACACGGCACTACCACCCGAGTATTTTAGCCTTGCCAAACAACTCAAAAGCCGCGTACGCGTAATCTTCGCAGCATTATCATGGGAATGGTACACAAAACTAACTGAACAGCTAAGTTAAGTAACTGAGTAAAGGAGCAGCCATTTTTAGTGGAGGACGTAACTTACGATTCAAAATTGAACAAGGCTAGAACTTTGTATCCTTGCGTTTCTGACAGATAGGCATGCTAACAAAAGATAGTTCATACTTAAAAAGGATATGGTTATTTTAAGCATTGCTATGCAGAGTTAAATGTGAAAATCGAGTTGTGAACAGATTTATTGAATTCTAACTATAGGCAATCCAGTGTTAATCTGCAAGTTTGCATATCACCCTATAACAATACCATTTAAGAGGAAATCTAGGATTCCGGTAGGATGTTTCCTGAAGGCAATGGTATGGCCTTGAAACCAATTCCCTTGCTTATTGGCTGACCTTATGCCTATTTAATCTTTGGGCCTGTTGTTTAATTCTCTTTATTTCTGCTGATCGTAACCTCGTCTTCTATGATTACTTCTTGATTGCTAACTTTGACTGGCATTTTCCCGATGATTTCATGACTACTTTTTTTGTTCCGCATAAAACTGTTTCTTTAGATGCTTAAGCGATTAATAGTTCAAAATTTTCGTATAGGGCTCAAATTGTCACTAGAACTCAACCCACTTTTTTGAACTTGACTTTTTGTACCTTATTCAGTCTAATCTGACTTCAATGATTTGTTGTAGCCATCACAGAATGGATGGGTCGATAATTCCCTTGGATCGTCTTTCGCAATGGATTTATGCTGTCTGTGTTGTTAATTTCGACGTGGATCTTGGACAGACACTGGAATATGTTTATCCGCAACATATTCAACTAACCGAGGCCGAACGTATTTCCATCAGCTATCTGGCATTTCCTGACTCACATTCCTCATGCGAAGCGAATAGTCAGCACCACTTTCGTTTTAAGTGCACCTCCATCGGTCGCTTACTGTTAAAAAACTTCTCTTTGCTTTACAAGAGCTATTGTTCCGCATTTTTGGTAGGTATTTTGTTCATTAGTTAGGTCGGAATTATCCTGTTTAAGCCTATGTTTGACGTCTGTTTTGGTTACGCTTTCTTCAAACAAGAAAAAGACTTCACCCAGAAGCGACATTATTCCCAAAAAGTAGGTGTGTTCGCTTCTTTAATCTAGTACTTTAGTCCATTGTGATCCTATCTCCGCTGCCATTTGATGTCTTCTTCTACGAAATTGCCAAAATCGTCGCAAATGCCTATTTTTCCCATGGTACAGAGGGTATTGAGAAATGTGTGTATCTTATTAAATCTGTCGCCGCTTTTATGGTAAATATTACATCTGCTAACGTTTCCATTAAAATATAGCCTGTAGGGAGATCGATTCCTGGCCTGCTCCAAAAACCAACGAGCAACTCACCCTTCCACTTCTTGGCACCACGTATTCTCTTCGAATATCTAGTGCTGCCGGAACGGCCATACCCGCATCTGAGTCTCCAGTTTGTGGCGAGTCATCCTCCAATAAAGAGGACAAACAGGATTCTGGATCGCTCTCCAGCTTTTCTTCCTCCTTTTCTCTCTCCTTGTTGGCTGAAGCGATACTTGATTGCGTTGACCAGACCATTTCCAACAAGTCTTCTACCGGAATACTGGACATTCACTCATCTTCCAGGAATTCAAATTCGTTGTGTGACCTTGTTTGGGTAAGTTTACTTGTACATAATCTATTGTATCTTCTAATCTCTCTGTGCCCATAATGAGTTCATGAATACATTCAACGCTGTAATCATCTGACGCAAGTTTTGATGTCAGTATGCTCACATTTGGAAGATTGGGCGTGTGTCTGACTGTTTGGCAAGGAACTAATCGCATTTATAGGATGTCGTCTTTATTACATAGCCTATCACACACATGGGCTCTCTTGTCCTATTTCATATGCACCGCATAAGTATTTAAGTTGTGTTCTTGTTTCGATGTCCCTAATGGTTTTCAAGTTATGTCTCTTAAATCAGAGAGTTTACTTAAACTGAAGTTACTCCACCTTTAATATTTATCTAGCAAACTAGAATCAGATGGAACAATGTTCTTTTCCGTGAGTCATAGCCTAGGCCTGATGCAGCCTAGATATCCCCAGATATATTCGTTCGCCAAATAAGGTAGTCATTCATTAACTCGCCTATTTCTGAGGTCTCTTCCATCTGTGGCCATATGACCTGACTTTTCTCCTCATAGCTATTCCTTTTTTTCAAGCTTTCAGTAGAAAGTGTGAATCGGTCTTTTCCAAGATGTCTTAAGCCATCATTTCATTATGCAGCATTGCAGTCTTTTGAGAATTAACTCCCAAAAGATTTTCACTGTTTGTCCCGTTTTTAATCAGTATGCGTTTTCACTTGACTTAACTACTGCCATCAATCGTGTCGCAATTAGAATTCACGGAGATTTTCGTGGGTGGGTGCGCAGATGCTCTGTGTCTAAGGCGGTCCATGTGATTTGCGACCACCTGGAAGTGATTTGTTCCTTTATAGTGAATTCATTAGAGCCTTACAAAACGGATAGTTTCCTTTGCTGAGTTAGGGGGGAGGGGTGTGGCTACAGTGCCTCAATCTTCTCAAACCCTTTTCTTCACTTTTACCACAGTGTGTTGTACTTTTACAATACCTTTGTTGCATGGTCAAAACTAGGACTAATGTACAGCCACAGACGAAAAGGCCAGTTCGTATTTCCACCCACTCTTAACTGCTCCTCCGTTAAAGGACTTCGGAGTATATCCATTCTCCAAGTGTTTCAACTCCTTCATTGGATCGGTTTCTATGCCTCTTGAGTTAGACACAGCTCCTAATTGTTGCAGTGTATTTTATTGGTGCTTTATTGTTTAACAAGGATGTAAAAAGTAGGAAACTGGATGCTCTTTCTATTTAAAGATAAAATTGACCCAGAGGGGGTCATAAACCCATTCTGATTAGAGGCAGCAACATACTATGAACTAATAGAAGTTCATCCTACCATCACAGAACTCACTGAAGTATGAACTTCAAATTTTTGGTCAGATGTAGATATTTTCGGTACAGCCTTTTAAAGCTCTGCGGCATGGTAAGCGTATACGTAGGCGTACTCATGAGCACGTGAGTTCACTTGCTCAGGATCACGTCTGTTGGATGGTTGGGCTCATCGGGAGTGCGACAGAAGTTTCTCTTCTCATGGTTCGCCTCATCTTATTTTGCTTTGAAAAGGTTCTACGAAAGTTGGCATATTTAAGAACGTTTTGCCGTCGAGAATGCATATGGAGCCATTTCACTTCAGTGTCATGGAAAAACTCCCTATTGTTGTTCCTCCCTCATCTGCATCAATTTCTGGCTTAACTGCGTTTCAGGTTTACTCCAAAGTAGTCTCGTATTTGTGATTTCACAGTGGAAGTCACTTCCACAGACAACGCAATTAAGGTGTTAAATTCGCGATAATGAATGGCTTTCTTTGTTTAGGTTAAAGTTCAACCACCCAGTCGATTAGGGTTTGAACAAGAAATGATTAACTTGCAGTTTATTCAAACATCTGTGCCAACATTGACTTGTGTTTTGCGAAAACATTCGTCACCTCCCTTTGTCTTGACTCCTGCCTAGCATTGCTTAATTTTTGTGACATCGAGTAGTTTTGCGTCATATGAATGTCATGTCAAGTAAGGGGCTTTTCTTAAAGTTCAACGTTGATACGCACCCTACTCAGACAGGTTGATATTTTGTAAACAAATGGATTTGAAATGCAATGTTTTTATTGACAAGCACAATCGTCACCCTTTTTCTAACTTAAACACTATCTTCTTTATCCTGTCCCCTCTAAATACTTGAGGTGTAATGAAAAAAGTTCCTATTTAGACACCATTAGCACTTGCAAAATCTCTTGAAGTTGAAGTTGCGCTGCCCATCACGAACGAATTTATACCAAAGACCGCACTATTTGCAATCCATGTATATACTCTGCTCATTAAAAAGGTCAAATGAGGTGTGCATATCACCATTGTTCAGTTCACTTTATTTTTTTGTAAGATCTTACTTCTGGTAAGAGTTATGTGGTTTTCGCTTGTGGGAGTTCAGGTCGAATTTCCAATTAAGCAAAAGTTATAGTCATCTTTCTTTGAAAATTCCTAGAATTCTCATCGATATTACTGTTAATTGCCTCACTTTAACTTGTTTTTTAGCTTGGCGAAACGCATTTATCGCCGTATCTGGTGTAATCAACCCATGCTAGCATGAATAGCCTATTTTGTTAGCGTTTCAGAGGCCTCATTTTTCCCCAACATCCCCAATGATTCAAGTCACTAAAAGTACGCTTTGGTGGTTCAGTTCACCCACCTTCACACCTTCTTTCATCAAGCCTAATTCTCCTTTCAAAGCGCTGATTTTTTGGCAAAAGGTAGGAATTTCTATTCGTCTTTTGCGTTTCAGTGGTCGTTTGCTCATTTTCTTCCTCTGATAATCATCTCCACCAACTGTTGTTAGAGTGAATCGAGCATCCAAAGGTGTTGTCTTCAATTGACTACCCACATCTTGCGTATATGGAATAGATAAGGCAGGGTTCGCCCCTTAAAACCATGATTCCGATGTGTATTGTTAATGGTGGTTGCTAATGTTGACTTTTATGTCTCCAATCTAACCAACTGCTTTTTTGGTTTAGGTTTGGGGTTACCTAAAGCCCAGGCTTATTTGAAATGCAGATAACACCTTTTTAAACCTCCCATTCGTGTAAACCATTGCACGAGAACTCCAACGAAATCAAGCTGGATACTTTTCAAGAAGCAGTAGTAGACGTTAAGTAATCCATTTTTATTAGCCTTTCTGCTTGTAACGCCAACTGCTAATTACGTCAGAGACTAGCTCATAAAGTAGTTGTTTTTTGGTGCTCCGAACGGCAACTCTATGGTAAAAAGGCGCCGAAAATGGCTGACTATAATTACATCAATCATATCAGTATGAACAAACAAGTGCCCAATTGTGAATGCAAGGTAATTAGGTGACAGGTTGTCTGGTTTTTTGACAAACAAGAAAACCGTATTCGCCTTGGCAGAACTGTATTTTGAGGTCGTTTAGTATTAACTTCTATGCTTACACTTTGTAACTGTCGGTAGTTCGTTTTCACTTTGTAAGTAGACGATAAACCAGAATTATTCCGTAGAGATGAGTGTCTTAGCTTTGCCTCATTAAACCTGCTCATATCCAGGTCAAGAAGTTCCTTAATCGGATAGTTTACGATCTTACAATTGATTTCAGGATGGGGAGTCGCTAATAAAGATGCAGGATGTTGAATTAAGCCTCGATTCTCGTCACTACGTTCAAGCTTTTGCTCCGGTTCTGGCTCATCTTCAGCGTCTCTGGGAGCTGGTCATAACGGCTCAGGTAAGTTCTCTGCTCAAAAGCAATCCTGACTCAATTTCTTCCCATGCGAACGGATAATTTCATAAGGCGGTTTTGTTTCAGAAAGGTAGGTTGGTTGGACATTGGGTCGAGGCATCATTTTTGTTTTTGAAAACACGATCTTCAATGAAGCAATCGCCTCTGTAACTTCATACATGAATAACCTCACTGTGATGTTACGATTCGGTATAAAAGTGTCAATTAAGTGACCTGAATCATCAAATGATGTGCTGTAGTCCCTGGTTTGCTTTGAGAGCTACGTTCAATGCTTCAGGATGTTGTGTTTTTGTATTGAATGTCGAACCCTGAAGCAAACCTGTTGCTTTTGAAGTCGTAAATAAGATGCAGTGGTACAGCGACACTAGAGGCTAGACACATAGTGAACACTGTCAAAGCCTTGCTGCTACATTTGATTAAATTGACGTTCCTTTGTTCTCCCACAGCCCCTCCTTGTCATGGCACCCAATCCGAATCAGGCAAGTCAGACTGTGCAGGCCCTCGTCTCCTGCATAGCACCATTTGCCTTCTCCGCCGACTACCGACCTTTTTTTACGATCTACGACACCGAGTTTAAGGAAGTCTCTCGCGGTTGCACCTCGAGGTAATTTATTACCAGATGTTTGACCTAGCTAGGCTTATCTATTTGTTTATCTCGAAAGGGGCTACCTGGAGAGGTTATGTAAATACCGATGCTTTTTTACTGAAGATAGCTTGGGTATCTTTATTTAGGACTATTTTAAGAGGTAGCAACCAGTCAATCATTTCCAGTTGTTTATTTATACGTTCTTCTCCTTACTGCATTGGTCCTGGTAGTGTCTGAATAGCTGTTTTCTTCCGCCTCTACCGCACTCTTTTAACCGCATCAAATGCATTAAGATCTAACGTCTTGTTGCGCTGGCTTAGGTTTAAAAGACGGTACCAAAGTCATGGTTTTTTAGCTTCGAACAAGGTGATATTTTGCCAGAAATCACGCGCATACTGCTCAGGTTACAAAACACCCAAAAACCCACCTTTCAATAGGAAAACTGGGAGTAGTCAACCCCTTCTTACTCTACTCATTTGTCAACCGAAGTTTCGTCAGTCAATCTAACTTATTTATTTGAGCAATGGTTTTTTTCATCCTGGATTATTCGTATGCCGTATCTTGTGTGTATCATTTTTCCGCCATCTATTCAGAAAGATAGTTAAGCGGCTTGTTCGCCTAAAGTACTGGTGTACTTTTGCATTTTACGGTTGACATCAAATACTCTGGTTTGTGTCCAGCCACGAAATTGGTATCCTAATCAAATTTATCACAAGTATACGAACGCCTTTATGAGTGGGAGCTGCATTTACTGTAGCCTTAATTTAAAGAGAATGGTTGTACAACGTCCCGAGACTTCCCTGAAAACGAAAGAAGAAATAATACTTGGACAGAATATATAGTATTGACATGCAGAAGGAATTGGGGCTGTTGGCATGGCCCAGAGGCTAGCCCACTCGGCGAAGGTACAATGGCGAGAGCTAAACAAACAATCAACGTAGTACATAGCCTTTCTCTTATTTTTGAGCGTCTCTCCCAGCGCTCCGCTTGACCAACCTCCCGCGTCAGCCGTCAAAACGTAATCGGTGCTGTACAAAAAACACCCACGAACCAACCGTGTCAGTAATCGAATTGACGTGCAACGGAGAAGATACTTGACTGCAACGTCACTGATCCCTCTTGCAAATTCCATTGAGTTTGGAGTTTCGTCCTGTGTGTCACTGTGTGTGCTAGCCATCTCGCGTATCTATAACTAGTCGTGGGAACATTGGTCTAAAGGTAGGGTTAAATAACAAAGGACGTGACACAACATAGTCCCGTGGAATCAGGGTATCGCTTCTCTTCCTCCTTGCCACGTTTTTGCCGTCTCATTGCGGCCCAGCCACCTATTTATCTGTGTTCTGTACAGCTTCCAGGGAGGTGGAGGAGGCATTAGAAGTTTATATATTTGATATCTTCATGTGAAAAGGGTAGACAGCGCTATAACGAGCTTCTCCGGATGGTTTGTGGCTAGTATCGTTTCGGCTGTTAATAGCTTCCCTGCTGACCATGGGACGGGGGTTGACGTCATTTTAGCCCTTCTGTTAGGGGTCATCACAGATTCTCCTATCCACAGCATATGCACTTCTTCTGTCCCGCTAAGTTTTATCACACACCAGTATAAATTATGGTAGATGTCCCTTGAGATCGGGTTTGCTTTGCGCTGCTACCAATGTAGCGCCCTGAGACTTCCCTGAAGACGAAAGAAGGCCTAACATATATAATATCGCCGACATACAGAAGAGAACAGGGCTATCAGCATGACCCGAAGGCTAGCCCATCCGGCGAAGGTAAAATAGCGAAGCCCCTTAATGGTATGTTACCAAAACCGAGAATTAAAAAAGCAGCCAATGTAGTACGATTTGACAGAATTTTTGAGTACTCGGTTTTACATCCCAGTTATCCACTTTGTACATATCTCAACTCGAACAAAATAGTGCTACCCAGCAGTGTGTTGGCTGCGTGTTTAGAAGTCCTTTCCTTCTCCCCTAGTCCAATAAAGATTCTGGGAGTAACCAATCCCTTCTTCTCCAAGGCTCTTCATCATTGGCCAAACGTAATCCGTCTGGGGGAAGTTAAAAGTAAGCCTACCTATAATCTTGTCAGTAGGTGGCGTGATACTTCCATCTAGTTGCTATCATTTTTGCCTAACATGCTTGCTTTTTTTCAGACAATCATTCATAATCTTAGAAATTACTTTCTCCCCTACAGATATTGACAAGAGGAAAAAAATGCATCAGCACTCGTCCAAGACACTGCTTGAAGACATGAAATCCGGACTGTATTCACGTTACAAACCCTTCTTAAAGCGAGATGCCGGATTTTTTAAGCGTCTCAAAAAGGTGAACCTTCAAATTTTAATTACAAGTTCAGTATAAAACTGTTATTTGTCTACTGGACAACCCTACATCTTAATACTTGTTTGTTCCCAACGTTAATGCTGTGTAGTTTGATGTGGTGTCACTGAATCCTTAGGCCCTTACTGATGGAACCCCGGACGAGTGCATTTCCCGTGCCATCCACCGGTTCTTCCAAGAACTGACCATGAGCTTCCTTATACCTCTGGTACGTGCACTTTTGTACGCAAGTGTCGTGCATTCCTACAAACACAAGCCATGGAACATTGGGACTTCACCAAGTATGGCGATGAAAAATAGTTTTTTTGACCGTAATGATGGTTTGTGATTTATGGAGTAAATAAACGTCAAATCAACTCGTTCGAATTGATGTTCAGGCAAGTTGTTACATTTTTATGTTCCGTGTGGATTGGTAATCTTCGGTTTTCATGATCGTTCATTTGGACAGTTGAAGATGCGATCATTCGCAAATTCTCTTACCAGAAACGCATTTTATTGTTCCCACCTTGTGACCATTTTAAAGGGGTGGCGGTTGCAACACCAAGGAACGAAAAAGTAGGACAATGGGTGTTCTTTTGAAACTGCTCAATACTGTCGTTCCCACTCATTTTGGAGTTGAATGGAACTTTAGTTATTGTAGCTTCGCTAAGGTGTGAATAAATTCTACCGATTTGCGATTTTGCTATCACAGTATCTCAGGAGAAATTGCTAATCAAAAGCGGACTAGGTTTGCTTGTTTCCTCCTTTAAAATTTCAGGAGCACTATCTGTCAAGCCTTATGCCCCTTCATCGTGACATCTCTCCCTATCGTGTGAGTCATCTGTCATGATCCTTTTAGATTTAGAAATAGTTGATTCTAGTCGATCTTTTCCCAAGCCGATTTTCTACTTTTCGTCCATTCTATCTCTCACACCTCACTTATGCATTTCTACGTGATTTGTGCATTTCACTTCAGTGTGTGCCCGAGCTAAACCGTTTCAACATGAACGATTTCTTCCGCACTCTGGAGACAGCAGGTCCTCGGCTCACTTGTGATGTCAAGGGTGACTGGGTCGGTCTTTACAAGTGAGTCAGCCAGTTGCGCAACTTTTCTGCGCATTTGGTGCGATCTGCCAAACCACGTACCTAGGCTATCGATGGCACACTTTCGCCATCCTGAAAGCAGGGAAATAGCCAAGTGACCTACGGTCTAACGAATACAGTTTTCTAGTGCGCTTAGCGTACCTTACACATCAACAGCCAAGTACGCGTCTAATCGGTGGCAGTAGACAGGCGTCCTAACTGGTCGACAGGCTTCCATCAAGCCCTAATGACTAGCTTAAGTCAGGCCATTAAGCAGACATCATCAGTTTCTTCGATACTTCAGCTAATTGCTGTGGTTGACAGTTCTCGTAGGTTAGGTTGTAACGATGTGGTTCACCTTCTTAGGTACTGTCTTTCTACTCCCTTAGTATTAATTAAATGGCCCAGTATTTTTGGAGGTTGTTTTGCCAGGCCCCGCCGGTGTAATTTAAGGTGTATCTAGTGATTGCCATCATGACTTTTAGCTTATCGCTAGATACTTAACGTTAGGCCATAACTTAAGGTTGAAATCGCAAAATGCTCTTGGTTTTGCTCACGCCGATTACACGAATCTTGATCGCATCTACAGTTGCAGAGAAGATAAGTAAAAGAGCAGTTACGGACTAGATATGTTTCAACGTAGGAGATGTCATTTCGTAAATGCAATAAAGTTCGACGCCTCTGGCATCCATGCCATGCTCAAGAAAATATTTGGACACATCCTTTAACTTTTCATACTCATATAAAGTCGACCAATAGAATATTCCAATTTTTATCTGTTATCCTCCGCAAAGGCTATTCTTCTCCGGTCCTCACTTCATCCATTGGCTGAGCCATCGAGAGGGGGAGATTATGGAGAAGTTGCATTCCCTCCACTTGGACGCAATTCTAAGGGCCAATTTTGACCTCTGGATCGAGAAACGCTCAGAAGTGGAAATCGTTGACATGATAATTCGGTTAAATCAGCTCGCAGTGAGTCGGATTCTCCTAAGCTAATCTTGTGTTAATAGATCTTTCACAACTAGGCTTATTACTGAACTTCTGCCTTTTATGGTTTCTACGGTGCTTTAGCAAATTCACTCACTCTGTTATCCGATTTATCTTCAACAAGAATTGGCACCAACTCTTAGATTTTTTTATTTATCTACCGTTTCGGTATAAATGTCATGGATGAGACATTTACACGAGGGAGTGACATCGGTTCGTTCGACTAGTGTTTGGCGCTGGATTAAATGTCAAGGCAGTTTGTAGTCTATGCATATCTAGTTTCAATCAGTTACAGCCACTTATTCCTGGTAGATTTTAGTATCATGTAAATACACAAATGCAAAATAACCAAATCATTATAAGTAACCCTCCCACTACCTCTGTGATACAGGCAAGATATGGGCATATGGTCTGCAAAGTTGAGGGCATTCGCCGACAAATCGCGGTCCTGCTTGATGCCCTGCCAGAAGACCTGCGTCAAGTGGTTGGTCGCAGTAGTACAGGAACTGGAGCACCCATCAGTGTGAATGGACGGGGCTAGGTTCCTCCACCTCTCTCTGTAAATATGCACATACCTCATTAATTCTGTCGCATGATTTGTACTTCCGCACGGGACGTCATCATTGTTTTTTCTCTGAAAATCCACATGAATGACGAATTCTCTGTCTGTATGTTATAAAAAAGGCCACGAAGATGAACGCCAAATCGTGCGCGCAGTAATTGCTCCCAATTGTCTAGTTTGGGCTCATTCGAAACTGGCTCCTCAAAGCAAAAACGGTTCAGCTACTGACTAACTTGATAGTAGTATGCGCGTGCCAGATGGATGAGCTGTGGTTCTGAAAAGAACACAAAATGCAAAAGCTTCATTGTCAGGTATCGTGCCAAAAGGGGCTTATTTGATAAATTTGATTTCATGGATGTATTTTAGCTGGTTTTAATTACTATCTGAGACTTACAACGATAGGTTTAAACACTTTAACCCAGGCCGACCGCAGTAGCTCATATGACACCGATTACCAGTAACTTTTTGATCAATTTTACTCTAAAATCAAGCGCATCCTACTTCTTTTTGATCATTTTAAACCCAACTAGCCTCTTTTTCGATACGAATTGGCGCCACCGAGCTGAGACCAAGGAGCCACGATAATGCCGATGCACATAGTGAACGTGTTAAAAGGCCACCAGAAACGTCTCGGATAGCTCAATGTCGCAAACTCCTTGCTACCTTGCAGAAGACATTACAAGGTGAAACAATAGATTCATTCATAATATTTACTAAAAAGAAAATACACAATAGCTTACATCAGTGTAAAAGGAGGAGAGCAGGACATGCATAAACACGCACACATTCAGTCTCGTTATATCTCAAATCCAGAAAAAGGGTGAGGGTGGAGAGCGAGGACTATGGATTGGAGATTGGGGCCTGAGATGGGAGATTGCACCAATACAGCGGGAAAGGCGATCGACACTGTTGCCGTGGCTTTTCCACGAGGAAACGAGGAGGAGTGACGAGTCAATCATGGACACCCCGTGGTATGGAGGCTTATGATGACATGAGCACAGTGACAGCTAAGTGAGTAAATGCCTCGTGCACAGAGCCCAATTTGAGACTGAGAAAACATAAAGAACATGCATTACACACCAGGAGTGGCAGCGGCGACTACGACACCTCGGAAGTGGCGTCATCCCTTAGCCGTTTCTGCTGTTGATGTTCACGTTGGAGATCTTGGGCCATCTGCTGTTCAAACACGCTTCTTCGACAGTCTTCAACCAGATGGCTGAAGCTCTTGTCCAACCAATCACGAATTTCAGCGTAAGTCACGATTATGGCCTTCTCGCCCTTTCGGCTGACTAGACAAACATTCTCTCCTGATCCAGCTTCAACCTGAAAGAAAAGTGACAGGGCAATGCGAGGTGGTGCCCAAGTGGGGTAAAAGGGAGCGCGAGCTTGTGAAAGATAACCTTATTGAGGGCAGAGACAATGTGCGCGAGGTCTAAATACGGCGCCCCATTGTGGTCGACTTGATGGAACACATAATCGCGAAACAGTTTCAGCATGTACCGGTCGTCGGTCTCTGACCACTCTGGTTCATGATGTTTAGAAGCTCTTGTACTAGGCAAGGAAGCAAAATAACGCTCACTAGTAAGAAGTGATGTTCATCTGAATGAGAATAGTCAGGCTATCGTAGTGTTTACAACTCACTCCTGTCGCTCAATCACAGAATTCAGTTTACAGACTAAGCGGAAAAGCCGGCCGTTTGAAACTTCCTAAGGCAGAAAAATGGGATGAATGTACAACAACCTCATTTTAAGGGAGAGAAATGGGAAAAAAAGTTAAAATAACATTTAAGGCATGTAGCTCCAAACGCCTTGCGAGGGTGTCAGCTGCATCCAGGTTATCGTAGACATGATCAGCTGTTGCCAGCACCAGGGCATCCACGGTGTTCACAGAACCCGATAAAAGGTCGCGAATGAGATTTCGTAGCTCTTGGCTAACGGCACGATCTAGCAGGGGCAGGTACTCCGTGGGTTTCTGAAAAGGATAAAAAGACATCTCATGGGACTCTTCGGCCTACCACAATTCAGCCCACGTGACGGCTTTGTCCATGCCATAACTCTTTCAGTTACTTCTGGAAGAGATCACTCGGAGAGCGCATTGGTAACAGCATCATAGGATAGGACGGAAGTCTATCCCCTTGTGAAGATTATTGTACCTTCTACTGATGCCTCAGAGGTTCGTATCTGTACGCATTGTTTAGGCATCAGCTTCAGATGTTTAAGTTTGTCGAAACTCACAAAATGATTATTTAAATCGCGTTGATTTATTTCAAGTTTTACATCATGGATATTTTACAAAGGTTTGGTACAATTCCACGAGAAGAAGCTATACAGTGACCCGGAGAGAAGGTTGAGGAGCATCAAAATGAAAAAGGAACCAGGAAAATAGTTACTTGTTCGGCCCTTGCATTCGAAATGCTTAGCTAGTGCTTTTTTTGGCCTTTGCAGAATAAAAATCACAGAGAATCCCGGGAGACTATGCAGAAGGGCGGTACTTGTTTTAATCATAGATAATATCTCGCAGGCTCTGTTCATGTCGCCTACGCTACTGGTCCTCCAGTCCTTCTGTTTGTTTAGCACAAAGTTCAGTTCAAAGGTAACTCAACCGCCATACCTGGGATGGAGTACATACCCCACTAATGCGTAAATACCACATTTCTATCAAACCCCTCATTCAAAGCACGTGAAAAGCCCAACACCATGATTACCACTACAAACATTCCTGACATCTTTTAGCTTAATAGAAAGGGGAAGGGTAGAATTACCTCGAAAGCTAGACCTGTGCCCACTATGGCTCCAAGCATGAGTTTGCCCAACGCAATAAAATCTTTCACCTATAAATAAAAATATTCCTGACAGTGAAAGTCCTCTTCTTCCCGGAAGTAAAGATACCAGCTTAAGGCAGTGAACTCACCTTGCTTTCTGTCGTTTGACTATTCAATGACGGGTGATTTACGACATCTTTCAAACCAAAGCAATTTACGAACAGCCTACAGGAATTATGTGGAAACAAAACGCAATAGCAAGGATTTTGTTGAAGAGAAGAGATCGAATTACCTTGTCCCATCCTGAATTAGGATTTTGCTAGGGTCAAGAACATCGACACTTCGATGTAAAGTTTTGTGCGCGAAACGAATAGACTGGGTTAGTTGCACCAGCAACAACCAAGCGGTTCGCTCTTGCAACATGTCGGTGTAGATTACTCGCTCTAAAACAGAAGAGGTATCACTGTGGGGAATTCCAGTAGCACACAAAGTGATACTTAAGTCACATAAATTCCAGCTATTCAAAGTGATTTTGTGGAGCAAAGCTTACCGGAGGACTTCGTCTGCTCCATCATAAAGATAGCCCCAAGAGTGCGAGCACAGGGAAGGAACTCGTAGGTGAAAAGTACGGCTGAAAAGAATAAAAAATAACACGCACATTGGGACTGCAAGTAAGACCAGCGATTACAATGTGGAGGATGAAAATCCCACAATTGTCCCTAAAGTCTTGAACAGGAACGACATCTAGTAGTCGAAGCACAGAAGAGTCCTTAGCCCCGCCCAACTCGTTGGCCAAGAAACAGGCGTCCTTTGAGATCGTCTTCGACGGCTCAAGAATGACTCGACGCAGGACTACGTGACTACAGAGACGCGGACACCAGGCCCTGAAGCACTGCGTTGGAAGCCCCAGAGATCGTGAGGGAAGCGGGGTGTTTTCCATCGGTGACACGGATGTGTAAGGACCTAGCTGTTGCGGGAATTCTTAAAAAAGGAAAATATCCTTAGCAAAACAGGAAAACTAAGATGGCATCAATGACCTACACAATACTAAACTGCGACGGAATCTGTCCTCTTAGGGACATGAACAATTTTGAGAACTTGCATAAGCTTGAAATAATCTGCAACGTGAGAAGAATTATCTCAAGCATTATGTAATAGCTTGGATAGGTAGTACTCGCGCCTTATAGTCGCAAAACACAAAGTACCACCATGAAAATTATTCCGATTGTTGAGGTACGAAGTTTCTTAATGCGTTCGCTACCAGCGTCACATATTTTACACCCCGATTTTCGTACTTTTGACGGTACATCATACACACGTACTACATTTAAAGGATGTGTTAAAGCAGAAAGGAATAATAAAATATGACATTTGATGGTGGATTTTCCTGAGGTAATCTTAAGGCCAACATACTATTCGACTACTTCCTGATATTACATGTGAAAGAGCTGTGCCGACGAAATCTAAATGATCGAATAAACCGTTCAGTGAGAGGATAAGGTGGCGTCAACACTGGAGGTTTTGAAAATAATAATAATAATAACCAAGACAAAAAAGAAGTAGCTGTTATTACAGGAAGAAGATGGTATCAAAAAAATAGTAAGGCTATGCAAAGATCCAACCTATGGTGTCGCCAGTAATGATAGTAGTCGGTAAAGGGGCAAGGAAAGTCACTTACTGGTATTTGCTGTTGCAGGAAAGAGACACATTCGTATTTTGCTTTTGAGAGACTAAAATAAAAAACCTGCTTCAAGTGAATTAATTCCGACAACACCCGATTAAACTCTCTTGAGATGGAATTTGTGTAAACATTATTTCATCTCTTACTGCCCAACACTTGTTATCAAAATAATCGAGGCGAAAGGAAAAAAAGATAGCACTATTTAGAAGCAATAAACGACTGGTTATTTTAGTAGATGGACCTTTTCATGGGAAATGAATTTGAGATAACAAGAGTGGGAAAAACAAATGGAATTAACGCATCGCCAAGTTTTCAGAAAGTCTACGTTCCTGGATGATATACATAGATTGCAGTCAAAGTTAAAGCTTCTTAAGCACAGCAAACGGGAGAACTATGAAAAAATGGCTGACTCAGATAAGCAAACGTATTACATGATGCAACGCCTGTTCCATGTATGTAACGGCGTTACTATCGGGCGAAGTGTTTCTCATGAGATGGAATCTTCCGGTTTTCAGATGCTCCGAGCCGTAGGCTGGAACAGGTGGGTACATCACCCATCGGGACGAATCCTCCGAGTGTGGCGGCGGTGGAGGGACAGTCGGGACCATGGGATTGTAAGCCCCACCGACGTCACACGAACCGGACAGCTGCAGTTTAGAGGGACGCGAAACCGGCATTTCATTAAAGCCAAGACCTTCACTGGCCAGAGGTAGTCGCTGATTGATGACAGGAGACTTCGGCTCGTCTACGGTACGCGAGGACGCAAATCGGCCGGACATAAACGGATCATTTAACTTGGGATCCATAGCCACAGGGGACTGTGAAAAGGATAGATGCAAAAAACCCCGTATTATAGAAACTTCAAAGTGCATGATTGTGTTTAGAAATCCTCAAATACAAAGCGGGCAGACCAAACCCAAATAAATTTGGAAGTGTGTAGCCATGCTGATTATACTAAAGGACTCACAACAGAAAGCTGGTTCATAATTTTGTTCCTGTCCATCCAATTGCTAATGTCGAAATTTTGCGACTGCTGATAGGATTGGCTCGTAGCAAAAGAACGTGGATAACGAACACCTCCGATTCTTTGCGTAGGAACGGCGTTCTGGTAAGAAGGATTCAAGTAGGCATTTGCAAGGGACATAGAAAGTGACGCCAGTTCTGGACGTTCAGCATTCTAGAACGCAAACCATCTACATACTTAATAAAACTACGCTAGCACTTTGTGAACTGAAATTGAAACGTGTATGTGGAATCATAGGCGAAATATTCCCTTGTGGAAAGTAGCTTGCCATGATGCTTCAAGCTGTTAAAATATACCACTAATAATTTGTCAACTCTACTAACGGTAGTCGAAACTTCGTTGAACCAGCTGCGTATTTTACAAGCACAAAGAATCGACGCAACAACCTCAATTGAAGAGGGTTGGTCAATCAAAGAAGCATTCAAACAAACGAGTTATCTTTTGTATTGCCAATAGCATACATTTAAGTACCACGTCGACTAACGGCTTTGTTTGCCTTGTTTTTGCAGGTTTTAACTAACAACTTAAATTGTCTTTTTAACACAATGGGAAACCATTTGACTTAGTTTTATTTACTTCACCGACCTTCAAATTTGACGTATTGCAAGCGTATTATCAGGACTCTTAGCGGGTATTAGAAAGTGCAAAAGAGAAATTACTAAAATCCTTTTATTCCTTTTCAGGAGCTTGATTCTGTTTTAGGATAACCTGTATTACAAACATTTAAACAACTCTTTATGCATTTCAAGAGGTACTATTTCGTTGCGCTCCTACTGTCTCATTTACAATAGACGCAGAATGCAATTATGCCAAAATTGGTAATAGATAGCAAGAGTTTCTTACGTAGCCTCGTGGATTCACCCTGAAGAAGAACGTAGGTTTGATATTTGGGAAGAATATGCACTGTCGAGTTACAGAAAAGCCGAGGGATTACTAGTAGGACTCGATGTCCAAGCCGCCCAGAGGAAGTATAACGTCGGAGACACTAAGTGGCCTTTTACCAAAATTAAAAGCTAAACAGCCAACTACCGCATTGTATAGTCCTCTTCTCCTCTGATTGTCGTCCTCGGCCCTGGCCTTGGTCAACCTCCAGTGTCAGGCATCACAACGTAGCGGATGCGGTTACAATAACACTTATCAACTAGTCGCCGCAGTCATCGGATTTCCATGGGACTAAGAAGATAGCAGAAAGCAGCGTTATTGATCTCTCTTGGCAATACCACTGGATCTAGATTTCCGTTTTGTTTGGGAACTGCATTGGAGGAAGAGGACTGCGCTTGTCATCATTAGTAGTAAGAACACTGCCCCAAATACATGGTTTTTTAGTAAGACGAATTTTGAGCTCCATTCTTGGGGATAAATTGCTGCCTTTTCTATCCTTGCCGCTCATTCTTACTTCAGTCCTTCCCAGGCATATCTAAGTCCTACCCAGCTCCGTAACAAGCGACTTCCGATAGTGTCAACAGCGCCCCTACAGACCTCGAGACTGCTGGTTATCGAATTTAGGCATCATTTTTAAAGTAATTCTCCCACCCGTAGCATATACACTTCTTCCACCGCGCCAAGGTACATCACTTGGCAGTGGAAATTACAACTACTGTCCTTTCGGATAGGATTCACTTTCTGCTGCCAACGCTGTGGGATCTCCAGTCTTCCCGAAGTCGAATAATTATACATTTTCGGCGCACAGAGGGGCTCAGGTCTACTGCCATGACCCGGAGGTCAGGCCTACCGGTGAAGCTATAATGACGAAGACCTAACTAGCTAGTTACCAAAATAGAAAGTAAAACAAATCATTAATTCAATACAATGTATCCTCCCAGTTTCGGTAATGGAAAGTTTCCTGCATAGCACAATCGGAATCTCCTATCATACAATTCTATATAATAACTAGTAAAACGTAATGTAGTTATTCGATTGCTTTTATTGTGTTTATTCGTGAGAAATTGGCTGCTACAACCGATAAATACAAAAAAACCAGCAAAGGACGATAACAATAAAAATGATGGCATAAATAACTATAAATAACAGTGACTCATGCTCAGCCCTCTTCGCCTTCCTCCTCCTCGAATTCACCCTCGTCTTCAGCACAAGCGTCTTGATATTGCTGGTATTCGCTGACCAAATCATTCATATTTGATTCAGCTTCAGTGAATTCCATTTCGTCCATGCCCTCACCAGTATACCAGTGAAGAAACGCCTTTCGCCTAAACATGGCAGTGAATTGTTCACTAACACGCTTAAATAGCTCTTGAATCGCCGTGCTGTTACCGACAAACGTTGCCGCCATTTTTAATCCTCTAGGTGGAATGTCACAGACCGCGGTCTTAACATTGTTCGGAATCCATTCCACAAAGTAGCTTGAATTTTTGTTCTGAACATTAAGCATCTGTTCGTCGACTTCCTTCATCGACATTCGACCACGGAAGATAGCTGCGACCGTCAAGTAACGTCCATGTCTAGGATCACATGCTGCCATCATATTTTTTGCGTCAAACATTTGTTGTGTCAGCTCAGGTACGGTTAGGGCGCGGTATTGTTGACACCCTCGACTAGTTAGCGGAGCAAAACCAGGCATGAAGAAGTGAAGTCGTGGAAAAGGTACCATATTAACAGCAAGTTTTCGGAGATCGGCGTTCAGTTGACCTGGGAAGCGAAGACATGTGGTGACACCCGACATCGTTGCACTGACTAAATGGTTAAGGTCTCCGTAGGTAGGCGTCCCTAGTCTTAAAGTTCGGAAGCAAATATCATACAATGCTTCATTGTCAATGCAATAAGTTTCATCTGTGTTTTCGACCAGCTGATGCACAGAAAGTGTAGCATTATAAGGCTCAACAACTGTGTCCGAAACCTAGTATAAAAGAGCATAAAAGCCAATTGCAAACCTTTGGGGAGGGTACTACTGAAAAAGTGTTCATTATTCTGTCCGGGTATTCTTCTCGAACCTTAGATATTAGGAGTGTGCCCATGCCTGATCCTGTACCGCCACCTAGGGAGTGAGTCAGCTGGAATCCCTGTAGACAGTCGCACGACTCTGCTTCCTTTCGAACAACATCAAGAACTGCGTCAACTAACTCAGCACCTTCTGTGTAATGGCCCTTGGCCCAATTATTTCCGGCCCCACTCTGTCCAAAAACGAAGTTATCAGGTCGGAAAAGTTGTCCAAAGGGACCTGCTCTGACACTATCCATTGTTCCTGGTTCCAAATCTACTAGTACTGCTCTAGGCACATATTTCCCTCCGGTGGCTTCGTTATAGTATACGTTAATGCGTTCCAACTGAAGGTCAGAATCCCCGTGGTATGTCCCAGTAGGATCAATCCCATGCTCGTCAGAAATAACCTCCCAAAACTATAAGGGATATATTTTTCCAAATTAATTTTATTACCTTAGCGCCTATTTGATTGCCGCATTGACCAGCCTGTATATGAACGATTTCGCGCATACCAACTTGCGTTGAAACAAGTAGCAGCTTTTAAAATACCGCGTTCAAAACGGAAAATGCTACCTGCGTTAAAAGCATATTTCAGGACCGACCAATCAAAAGAGTGAGTGCACAGCAAAACAAATGCATGTAATGGCAAACATTGCAATAAAAGCAACCCCGATAATACTTCAATGTCTTAATACCCAGCCTATGCCTAAGTAAAATGCAAAACAATGATAGTGTATTTGCTTCTTAGTAGTCGCAAATACGTGGCGATATGGCAACCATTAAGAACAAAATATTTGATGCTCAGGTGATTAGTAATGTTGCAGTTGGTGTGTGAGGATACAAGCGGTCACGTTGACAAGTATCGAATCTCCTCCGGCAATTTCTGCTGTTCTTCTCAATCCTGACCTCAAAGTTCTTTTTGAATATTTTATGTGTCAACCATTAAAGTAGACACAAATATTCTGCATGCACTTATTAAGAAAGTAATTAGGTCGCTAGACATTACCTATTCACCACTATGTCAACAAAGGGACTGCTGTTTGAAATAGACTGGGTCTCCTTAGAAGACGAGAAAATTATTCACTGGAATCAAGTTTCAAGGAGCAAGTTGTTAAAGCTTTTCAGAAGGTTAATATAATGTACATAGCAGGAGCTCATTTGTGTTATCCAAAAGCATAAAACGCCTTCTAGGTCATTGAGCTGTTTACAGTGGCTTAGTTGAATTGACTAGTAATGACATCAGGGAACTATCGAGCGTTCGGTGCAAAGCACAGGTATGAGACTTCCTCTTATGAATGACCTCAAACCGACACTTTCTAAAAGCTCCATTAATGAATCCGACCAGCCGCTCAGAGAAAACAGTCCCTTTGAAGCCGTTCCTACAGAAGAAAAGTTACCACCGCCCTATGTAAACGTAATTAACTAATTTTGTCATCAAAAGGTTGATAAGTTGGAGGGTCCTGTCAGTTTTTTGTGTGAATGCGGGGAAAAACCGCTCTGTGAAATATGCAGTGTCCGACTTTATATGTCCAGATTACTGAATACTTCAACGCCTACCGTTGAAAAACGTTTAAGGATGTCTTTAGAACAAATAGATGGCAATTTTTTAAGGCAAGACTCATTTATATACTCCCTATTACGATAGAAACGACCCCGCCTCACTGGAGCTCAGATTAGGATCATATAATAGAAACTACTATGTTGTTGAAAGAAGGTTCGTTTAATATACTGAACTTTTAAAAAGCAGGACAAATGCTTGCAATTGCAAACCCAAAAAATGGAATCAATTCTCTTCTCGGTTGATATATGAGTGTGAAGAAATGGCCGACTGTTCTGGATTATTGTGCTCGGTTCGTTCGCTCAAATGTTTGCTCAAATTAATAACTTTAAAGCTAGTTTTCATGGAAACGAAATCAATTTTCAGCAAACACCTCATAAAAACTTCACGAATTTCTTAAAGGAATCTTCCCTCAAATGGCTATCAGACTTTACAAAAAAAGTGAAGGACAGGAACTATTTTGCACAAAAAATATCCGATTGCGGATTACTGATCACACGTGAAGCCTCAAATGCGGTATGTTTTCGAATCATAGTGTTCCAGAAACCAGGGTTTTCGTTTTTCTGCAAAAATTCAAGAACACTATTGTATTTTGGAGTCGTGCTTCTTAAAAAATTGGTTAACTAACTTCCCTCTTATTTGATTAGGCTAAATACATTCCTCACTATCGACTTGCACCCCAAGGAGTGGATTGGCCAGGATGTGTTTATGACGAGAATATCACCCGACGACCTTTATTTCTTCTTCTTCGATCCGATGAACTTTCCCCTAGGGTGGAGACGGCTTCTACATCTTTGTTCATTGTGGTCTATCTCTTTGACGCTATCCTAGATTGTCGACTCTCTGAGGCGTTCAATTTGGGGCCTGAAATAACGGGTGTTTTTCGAGTCACCGACAGATGGCATGAGTTAAGCAAAATTTTGCTTGCAAATGAAGATCATCGTGAGAATGAGGATGCTGCAACTTCACTTTACAAGGAAGTGGGATCCTACTTTAGGGGTGTATACCTTATTATAGAGGTATCTTTCAGTTCTACCAATAATATAGTCACGTTTGTTTATGAAATTAGTTCATCTTATCCATCCTATTCCATGTGGTACCATTTGGATAACTTTGTTTGATTCGAATAGTTTCCATGACTCCACTTTGATTCGGCTTCACTTTACCCCACAGGTCAGTAAACGACTGCAAATTCAGGGATCTACTGCAAGAAATGCTGAACTTATTTCGACTGGCTCGAAGGTTAGATTCCTGATTCATCAAATTCACCTCTGGTCGTTTTCCTTCTGATTCCCAATGTAGTTGTTATGCAAATTTGGCGCACTGAATTCGCATGCATTGCCTAACCTATAAGCTATTCTCTTCGAGACTAATTCCATTGCTATAATCTTGAAACCATCCACCCTCTTCCACAATGGGTGCTCTTCCCCGTCTCATCACCCAGTTACTTGGCCCATCACACTTATCCTTTTTTAGTCAATAGGCACTTCAGCGTTACCTAACGTGAAAGCTGACTATCCTCCAGAAGGTGACTGCCTCCAGACTCCCTTCGCGTGGAATGCCATAGATCTCTCCACTGCAGTGACTCAGATGTGTCAGAAAACCCTCAGAGATCCCAGACGACGGCACTTTAGTGCCTCTGAAAGATGCTATTCTGTGGACCATAGAGGTTAGAAATTCACTCTCCCTGCCTCCACTTACTCCACATTTTCGAGGATCTAAAAAGAACCTTTTGTTCCCACTATACACGTCTTATTTACCTTTGATAATGTTAAGTAGCTCACTTCGTATAATACCATGTGATATTTTAACCCTTTAGAAGGTCAAAGCCAGCGGACGACTGAAGCATTTCGACGACCACGGCTCCTCTCCGACGCAAATGACTCGCTAAAACAACCTCCACGTAGTCGAACCGTTTCCAACGATCGTCGCTTCTCTGTCAATGCATTTGAAAGTAGCCCAAGCGATCTACAAGTCCGCGAAGTCATTAGCAAAGAATCCGATTTACAATCTTTAGAAGAATCCTCACCTCTGTGGAGGCTTAACACGGACGAACTGGAAGATTTGCCTAAATTCGTCGAGTTTAATCTCCAATTGACCACACGAAGTTTTATTAAAAAGGTGTCTTTTTGGAAACAGAAAAGTTTATGTCTTACACACGTTTAAACCTAATAAAATGCGACCTTTAATTTGCCTAATTTTTTTCAGGATTTGACCACCGGTAGCCACTCCAGTGAGATCAGGCGGACGGTCATGGAGGTCTTTAAACTCCAGTCCTCCGCCTGCAATATGAGCCCTTGGGTACACGATATACCCACTCGGGTGGGGCATGGTCATCCTCTGCGTCGATTGAAAACGTTCAGTGGACAAATGAAGGTTTCAATGACGGGAAAAGTAGTGTCTGCTTGTGGACTCTCACGTCACCTCCGGAGCGCCAACTTCTGCTCCACTGAGGGTGAGATTCTCCTTACTAGAGGCTATTCAGAAACAAGGCTTCAGGAGGTGATGGAATTCCCCACCATTGGACGTGTTTTTCCTTTCAATTTTTCAAGGTAAAGTTGTGATTTTTAGCGTGTTTGTCACAAACATCAAACATGTGTAAAAGTTTAATTTTCTAGCATGAGCCGGGTGCCACAAATACGTGACATGTATCTCCTATGTCCTCATGACAACTGATTGCTTCAAATTGTTTCGGAAGCATATTATGTTAAGCAATCGCATTAGTAGCTGTAGTTCTTGGTCATTTTTGAATTGTAGCATTGTCTTCATCTTTCTTAAATTTGTTTTCACCATATTTCATTCCCAATTCTGCAAATTTAAAGTGGATGTTAGTGGTCGACTAAAAAAACCTAAACATTTGATTTGAACCCCATTTAAAATGGCCCGCTCTCTTTCTCTTGTTCAGCATAGAATTCACATAAGGTGGTTGTCAACTCAAAATATACGCTTCACTCTGTGACTTCCCTGAAAGCGAAAGACCACATAATACTAGAGCAAAATATGCTTTTCCGATGTACGGAGCGTCGTCCCCGGCCTCCCCTTGGTTGACCTATTGCGTCAACCATCACAACGTAGTTGGTGCTGTTGGAAAAACACCCACGAACCAATCATCGAATTTGCGTGCAAATGAGAGGAAACTTGATCACTACATCACTGATTCCTCTTGGTAATTCCACTGGGTTTAGAGATTCTTCTTGTTTTGGAACTGTACCGTGAGAAGAGGGAATGTACTGACCATCTCGAATGTCCATCGCTAGTCGTAAGAACACTGAACCAAAAACAGAGGTATTTAATGAGGAACGGGGTTCCAAGTAGTTTCGTGGGATAAGGTTTTGCGTCTCTTCCTCCTTGTCACTTTGTTCTCACTTCAGTGCTGCTTAGTCATATCTACCTATCAGGGTTCTCTCCAGCTAGTAAAGAGATGAAGAAGGCATCACATGTTAACTTAGTCAACATCTTAATACAGGTACCGTAGACGGCTCCGCAACAACGTTTGCCAGATAGCTCGCGGCCACAGCTATTGTCGTTCACCTCAGCATATGACCTTCTTCCGTCAAGTTAAGTTTTAACATTCAGTAATGGATATCAGCGTAGTTGTCCTGATAATTCACGGCTAAAGTTGCTTCATTTGTTGATAGCATTCCTGCAGAACACGGAATCGGGGTAGTTACCGAAGGCAGACGTTGTTTTCAGCCCTTCTGTTGGGGGTCGTCACCGATCCTCCCACCCACATCATTTGTCCTTCTTCCATCACATTAGGCTTTAGCTTTCAGGAATGGCAAATCAAGACCGATGTCTTTTAGGATCTGTTTTGCTTTCCGCTGCCCGATGTAACGCACTGAGAATTCCCTGAAGACGAAAGAATGTATAGTAATAGGAAAAAATGCAGTTTGCTGACGTACAGGAGGGCTGGGGCTACTGACATGTCCTGGAGGCTGTGCCACCCAGATACCCGCAAATTAAACTGAATTGGCAAACAAGTAATCAAAGTATTACATTTTAACCAGCTTCTGTTTCTCTACCAAGAATAGCAATGATCTTTCCCATTCAGACGTGCTGTATACTTGCAGTGATTTGTGGGATAATTTCTACGCCATTCCTCGACTGAACCTTACAATCCCGAAATTTTGTGAGGCGGAATTGATGAACGTGGTCTTTAAAACATCTCTTTTGGTAAACACAAGCCCTGCATAATGTTGCATCTTGGGTAGGACTGTAAATCTTACCAGTAATGCTGTAGAACGTGTGACAGCAAACACACCCTAAATTACTTGCATAAATTGGATTTGAAAGCAGTAAAAAAGCCGCATTTTTGTGATTCTAAGCATATACAGTGAATTCTTTTTCGAGTTTAACTTCACTGTGATAAACTTTTGGTCATTTTAACCAGGTTTCGTCCAAGTATGCATTGGATGAGATCACTAACTCAAATTACAGCTAGCAATTTTTAGCCAATTACTCAGAATCTTTGTTTTCCCGATCTTGTAAACCCTCACAAGGAGTTGTGAATCACTTTTTATCAAAAACAATGATCTTCCTATTTATGGAATTGTGGACGGACATATGCACTGTTTCTGTTTGGGGCGACCAAAGCACAACGTCCTTTTCGAGACGTAATTACAAAGTAGTATGAACTTTGAAATGGATTAGACACTCCAAGTTGTTTACCTTAAGCTTGTATGGACATTGACCTTGACCCGCAACGATAAACCTGTTTTTGGGACTGACAATCTGCTCCATGCGTGAAAACTTTACATCAAGCGTTTTGTTTTTTTTTAATTTTAAATTACTACAGCGCTTCGAGTCTTCCCAAATATTACGGTAAATGATACCACAATGATTAAAAATGTGTTGGTAACACACAGCGGGACTGAGGGGTTACTGGTATGTTTCTGTGGCCAAGCCGCGATTGCGGAGACTGTAGATCCCACTTAGTAAAATGTATGGCCAAATAGAGTCAACCACTCCTTCACACTTTCCCAAGAAAAATAAGAAAGCCATTCTACAATTAATTTTTTGGGTTTAAATTCTTGAGATTTAGTGTTTTTAAGAGGCTCTTTACTGTCTTTACAATTCTAAAAACTTCAACCTTTCTTTGAAATGCGCCCTTAGTAAACACTGTGGATTTTGCTTTCTGCCATATTCTTTTAGAAATCTCCTCTACATTTATCTACAGAGCGTTACTTTCGGAATGCTCAAAAGCGTTTCAAAGAACATCGAAATTGTTATACAGTTGTGGTGTTCGGATGCCAGTGGAAGGCATACAATTCCGGTGCGTACATTACTTACATAACCACTTCCACTTGGCTTTAATTTAAGATGTTGCATCACACTGAAGCCCTATTTTATGTAGATAAGGGTTTCAAGTACATTCAAACCCGTTGGTGTGCAATAAATACCACCATGTTTGTGGGGTTCAAACCACTGAACAAACTGTCAGTAGTATGGTGTGCCGTTTTTACACACTGGTATTGGAGACGCCACTTTCCATTACGTTTTTTAGGCATTTCACAATCTCGGTGCCCAGAATGTGCTAAAAACTGAAGCTCGAACTCATGTTATCCTGAAAAACCGGTAAATCTTACTCGTGATACCGCCGTTTTGTGTCAAAATTTTGTAGTTCTAGGTTAGCCTTGTAATAAATACTTTAATTTCTTCTAATAATGCTTATAGAACAGGAATAGGATAGTACTGCACTGTGCCGCTTTTTACTGTTTGAATGTCTTTACCTGGAGTGTTCTCCCATCCAAATTTAAAACGCAAAATCCATCTTCTCTTCACCAGTTGATGTGGAACCTGCCGCCAGATTTCTTTCTCCATGGCTGTGATAGGAGATGGCTGCATTCCTTAAATATCATCCTGATATAATCTCTGTTTTTGCAGATCACCTGAATTCACTGATGAAATCAAAGTGATTCTTCCGAAGGAGCTCAATTCGAACCACTACTTGCTCTTTACTTTTGTCCACGTCGACCTTTCACCTTCACGTGACACCAGCAATTCCGTCCTTGGTTACTCGGTAGGTTCCAATTTCTCTACCATTCGTCACCCAAATTGGCCAGGAGTGAGTTTCTTCTCTAACGGTTACCTTTGTCAGTTTCTTCGAGCAGATCCTCTGAAATTCTGACAACTTTTACCATTTGCTAATGTTTACACTTGATTTTATTTGGTTTTAACTGCTACCAAATGATTCTTTAAATAACAAGACATCATCAATTTTAGTGGCTTCCGATTCTCATTAGTGGAAGAATATTTTCTGGAGAAGAGAAGCTTTATCTAACCCATGATCATCCTACTCCCGAAATGGCCCAAACAATACCTAGGCATGTTGAAGCCTTGGCAAAGGTTGGTTTAACCAGTGAGTAGCCTTTGCCTAATGGAACACACGGCACCAACTACTTGGTTTTCCACTCAGGATGACATGGAGGCCGGGAAAACGCATTTTCTCAACAAGACGTCATTTCACCTCCGTGTGGTGCCACTCAGCAGTTTGTACCAAGACGATGACTTTGTCGCCTCAGTGATAAGAGAATGTAATTTTGCGAATTTCACGGAAACAAGTGAATCACTGAGCAAACAGGACCTCTTTTTGGCCCAATCGGGATCGGATTCTCTGTAAGAAGTTTACTTACCCCCTTCAAATTGGCTTCTTGAACACGTTTGATTTCATTGTCGCAAATGCGTGACGTGTTGTGCACCACTTCTGTTTCATATGATGAAAGTTTACCCTAAACTCAAGTAAACTTATCTGCATCTAGATCCTCTCCTCCGCCACTGCTTTTGCATCTCCAGAAGGCAAAACTGAACCAGCTAGTTTTGCATTTGGTGCCAATCATGGATGGACTGCTACAGACTCTAGGAGCCTGTCTGGTACAAAACAATGTAAAAGCATCACAAAATTTACTCACCCTGCTGGCTTTCTACATTCATCGTATATCAAAGGGTCTCTCCGACTGGGAAGAGCAATTTACTGGACGCAATCGCTTTATATGTGCATATTTATCAGGCATCGGAAGGTGCTCCATTGAGCATGGTGCGTTGGTCACTTCTCGTGTGAATACTATTGGTGCAACTTTTTTGTGATCTATCAGTATTTATTTAAAACAAGAAAAAGTTCTACACATGTTTTTTTCATACTCGGTGCCTTACCTCCGAACTTGGCCTCTGTATACTGGTCATTCATACCCACTTGCTCCTCAAGTCCCATTAGTTAATGCCTGCCTGTTAAGTCGTTTACACAAATCGGTTGTATTTTTCCTCGGCCGAGGTGAAGATTGTAGAGGGCTTGTATTTTACCAATGACATTAATTTTATTACATTTCTGAGTAATCTGTGGCTTTTACCTGCCACCCCTTCTGAAGTCGGGTCTTGCTATGGACGAGCCTGAAGTCACATATCTGGATTAGTTGTTTTTCTGTCCAAAATATTGTGAAGCGTTTACTATTTAATTACGTCTACGTGTATACTCTCGATCTGGTTGGCAAATGTACAGGAATGTCGCCTTCAACAGTGCGAATTTCGTCTTTGTAGTTCTACCATATCTTCTCTCCGGATATCCAATGATGGGACTGGCTTGGATAGATGATGTTTTCGAGTACCTCCACAGGTCTAATGAGAATTTGACCAAGGTACTATGAGCTATATTTGCCACGCAGAAGTATGCTAATTGTTTTAATAATGTTGCTTCTTTTTGTTCCAGAAGTTGCATGAGGAATTGCTTCAATGCCTCATCGGTCAGATTGCCACCAATACTCCGTTTTCCAGGAACTTCTATGAGGAGACGTTGTGGTTCTTCTTGGAACTGCTGGTTTGTTTTCAATTTTTTAGAAAGCCCTTATGCTGTTCCAAACATCAAGAAATAAAATCAATGACAAATACAGACTTTAAATTTGATTTGGTTAGGTATGTACAAAACCAAGCTCGCTACACAGCGCTACCTAAGTAGGTGGGTACTTTATGTTAAGTAACTTCGTGCATCTTTATTTATGCTTTTTTTCTTGGAAGGTTCGAACTCTAATCGTGGAATGCAAAATTAGCGATGAATCCGCCAGCCAACTTTTTGTGGAAAATTTGGATCTCCTTACTCGGGAAGTCACGAAAAGCATCACCAACCGCCTAATGCAGGACGACAAGGAGGAAACCTTTGATAGCACTTGCCTTCTGAATCGCGCTTTCGCATTCTTTCTGCAGGACCTTTTAATCTGTCTCAATGCCACTCATGTGTTTCGGTTTACCTCAGCTTACATGCAGGCAGTTAGTTCATGTAATTTTGTGATACAAGATCACGTTAATCGCTATTCGGCATTGTTTAAAAACACTTTGTGATACTACGTCTTGTGTAAAGTCCTCGCCTTATTTTTATATTCAATCCCGCAGATCAACTCATTCATTGAAGAATTGCTGGCACCCAGCTCTTGGAACTCGGAGGATGAAGAGGCAGCGTCATCTCGAGACAAGAAGGTTCGAAATCTGCAATTACTGAAACTAGAAATGCTTCAAATCCTCACAGCCGCACCAGACTATCTGGCTCTGAGTCTACCCGACCAAAGTCTGTTGCCTGATACTGTGCATTCAATAAATCAGGTCGCTTACTTTACCACATTTGAGCAGGAAGATGAAATTCTCACTGATCCAACCTACCAAAGACTACACTTTTTACCAGCGATGCTACTGGGGGAAATTCGCACCTGCCTCCTTCATTCGTGAGTTTCTTCTTTATCATTATAACGTGCTTAGATTACATCTTTATGTAACCTCTTGTAGTTGTTAGGGTTTATTTTCCAAACCGGTGTACAGTCGTTTCTTGTTGTCAAACTGTAAAGTAATCATTTTTTTCTCCTTTCAGAGAACCCGCATTGCAGGAGAACGCCCTGACTACCCTATGGTACCTCATGAAAAGTCACGAGTCCCAGTCTTGCACATTTAGAGCAGGGCGAGAATCCTCCAATCTCTGGGATGCGGCTGCGCTTTACATCCCACTTCTAGACATCGCTTGCGACAATGCCTCTGCCATGTATGTCAGTTGGGTCGGTGCCTTGAAGAAGCAGGAAAGAGTGCTCAGAGAGGTGGCAAAGGTCTCTGTACTTTTGGATGCTCAGCGGAGCTCAAACGATGGCGCTTCGAAGCGGTCCGGGTGGATTTTATCTTCTATGACTGCTAAGGAACGGGTTAGATGGGTAGGTATAACCGAAAATCTTATGTATATTTAAAACGATTACAAATCTGATCTTTGAAGTGGAGTATTTGCATTCCTTCACCCACAGATGGGTCGTCGTATCTCGTTAACTCCGGACCGTAGAGGATCAGTGGAACATCGTTCATCTAGTGCACCGTCACTTCCATCACAACAAGAGTACACCACTTTCCCTAGCCCAAGTAAAACGTGGATCCACGCTGTCCTCTCTTCAGCTCCCTTCTCACTGCCCAGCGAGACGACTCACGTATTCAGTGACTGTGTCACGAGACTCCTCCTCTTAGAGACGCTTTGGATCCTCCAATACACTCATCGACAGGTCCTTCTACAGTGGCTCGTCACTAGGGGTGTTGAAAAGGCGCAGAATCTTGTTGAGCTGCTCATTCTTGCTCTCAACTACTTTGAGTATCCGGTAGGTGAACAATACAATAACTGTTAGCTCAATTCAGTAAAATTTAGCTGGTTTGATTATTTGCGAATCGCCGCTCTAGACGATTAGATACCTTGAAAATACTTTTCAATTAATATAGAAACATTACATAAAAAATTTCTAAGACTCATATTTGGCGTAGTTCGGTTTTTGAGATTTACGAAAACTTTTTTTACTTTTAGGGTGGGAATGAGTTTTTGACCGAGTCAACGGACGAAGACTCCAAAGGTAGGTGGCGTTTTGCAGTATCCGACAGGCAATAGCGACTTGGCTCTTTCCTGATAATGCAGAATTCAGTAGTAGGACAGAATATGTATATGCTGCAAAAATTACTGGCATGACCTGCAGGTCATACCCCTCAGCGGAAGTACAATCGGCGGAGCCTTCAGTGCCAGGATAACCAAAACTGAGAGTTAAACAAACCTTGTATTACTTAGCCATTCTCCCCTTTTGAGCGCCTTCTTTGGCGCTCTCTCTGGTATCCCTCCTGCCTTGGCCATCACAACATAATCGGTGCTGTGAGAAAAACACCCTTACGAACCAACCGCGCCAGTCATCGAATTCGTGTGCTACTGAGGTGATATTTGGCCGCACTG